AGTGCTATAACAAGTCTCAGTTAGCTTAACGCAGTACACACAGCAAGGTTTTTTTTAATAATATAATAAATAAAAAGAAAACAGATAGATTAGGAAAAGAATAGAGCAAGCTAGTGTTAGAGGTATTTTTTGCTTTTGTTAAGTGTATAATAAATGAAAAGAAAACAGATAGATTAGGAAAAGAATAGAGCAAGCTAGTGTTAGAGGTATTTTTTGCTTTTGTTAAGTGTATAATAAATGAAAAGAAAACAGATAGAATACAAAAAGTGTAGTTTTTTTTGTTTTTTTAAAGAAAACAAGCAGCAAATGAACAGCGTGCAAGTCTAAAAGGGGCAAGTGTTTTGTTTTGCCTTTTTAAATATATTTATTTATAATAAATATGTATTATAATTTTTGTAATATTTATATTAAACATTATTGTTAATAATATTATAATTATTAATTACTCATTTTTTGTATTATTTATTATAAATTGTCACTATAAATGTAACATTTATTGTAAATGATGCATAATAAAGTAGATGTGTTTGTATTTCTGTGCTCAGCTCCAGAAGACTGCGGTGTTTCGTTAGCGCCTGATGATCAGTCTGGTTCTCATATTGCGCTGGTCTCGTGTGTGTCTCGTCAGGTTCTCAGTGTGAATAAGAGTGTTTCTATGATGGACCTGCAGGACTCTCGCATCAACAGCGTGTCGAACCTGCACTCGGTGAACGACCTGCTGAACTCGTCTCAGGGGTCTCTCGCTGGCTTCGGTCCGCTGGGTGGCGCCCCCCTCAGGGCCGGAGGGCGTGTTTCGGCCGGCTCGGGCGGCTCCAGCATGTCGGGCGGTTTGCGTCTGAGTCACTCGGGCGGCCTGACGACGGATTCTCTGTCCCAGCAGCAGCAGCAGCAGGCGGCCGCCATGCACGTGCCTCTGTCCTTCCAGAACCCTCTGTTCCACCTGGCATCCGACGGGCCGCAGTACCACACAGCCGCTCCTCCGCCGCTGCTGCTGGCGCCCGAGCCGGAGAACGGACACGTGGGATTCGGCGTGCCGTCGTTCGCTCACAGCGGCTTCTCCCGCAGCGAGGACCTGTCGGCCCTGAGGACGCAGAACAGCCTGGTGCAGCCCAACATCGTGCACTCGCACAGCTACAGCGACGACTACACGCGCCACAACCAGGCCGACTACGCCCGCAGACAGCTCTCGCTGCAGGTGCAGGTGATCCACACACACATACACTTTTACTGGGCTACCTTTTTTAAGACAAAGAGCAATAGAATTATTTTTTTTTCATTTAACCGCTGAGACAAACAACAAATATATTTTGTTTTAACAATCAAACACAAAATAAAAATTAAATATCAAATTTCTAATGTTTTATATGCAGATTATATGTGACTCTGCAACACAAAAGCAGTGTTAAGTCGCTGGGGGATATTTGTAGCAATAGCCAACAATACATTGTATGGGTCACAATTATACATTTCTCTTTTATGCCAAAAATCATTAGGATATTCAGTAAAGATCATGTTCCATGAAGATATTTAGTAAATGTCCTACCGTAAATATATCAGAACTTAATGTTTGATTAGTAATATGCATTGCTAAGAACTTCATTTGGACAACTTTAAAGATGATTTTCTCAATATTTAGATTTTTTTGCACCCTCAGATTCCAGATTTTCAGATATTGTCCGATCCTAACAAACCATACATCAATGGAGAGCTTATTTATTATGCATAAATCTAAATTTCCAAAAAATTGACCCTTATGACTGGTTTTGTGCTCTAGGATCACATATAGGTCTGAAGGAAGCTTTTGTCTTGTCTCCGGAGGCCACAGGAGGACGCAATGAGCAAAATAATGCATTTCCTACCGTAAATATATCAAAACTTAATGTTTGATTAGTAATATGCATTGCTAAGAACTTCATTTGAACAACTTTAAAGACGATTTTCTCAATATTTAGATTTTTTTGCACCCTCAGATTCCAGATTTTCAGATATTGTCCGATCCTAACAAACCACACATCAATGGAGAGCTTATTTATTATGCATAAATCTAAATTTCCAAAAAATTGACCCTTATGACTGGTTTTGTGCTCTAGGATCACATATAGGTCTGAAGGAAACTTTTGTCTTGTCTCCGGAGGCCACAGGAGGACGCAATGAGCAAAATAATGCAGCACATTTAAATTGTCAACTCAAGGAAGTAACTATAAAAACGTGCATTACGTCTAAATTAACTCATAAAAATCAAATATAATTTCGTAAATTGCATAAACAATTATGATCAAAACAGCATCATTATGCATTGCTTAATCCAAAGAGCTGAAGCACCGATCACGCAGACTGCATTTAAAAACATAAGAGACGCAGTGAAAAGGAATAAACCACAAATTCGTGACGTGTTTTCTAAAAGTTTAAACTGTTTTAACTTTGCATGCATGGCTACATCTCTTGTGTGAGACGCGAGTGCAGCAGTTATATTTGTCCGTCTAGAAATGCGCTGAATATGCGTTCTGTGTGACTGGCTTGGTTTCGGTTTTAACTTAATCAAGATCTTCTCCGCATTGAGCTTCTATATTTCTCTAATGTTTCATAATTAATTTAATATCATCCATTAGAAAATACTTAAACGTCTAACTCATGCTTAATTTTAAAATCAAATAAAAAATAGAAATTACATGTAATTAAAAAAAAAAAAAAATGTATTTAATGCAAAAAATATATATATTTTGCATAAAGACTAATTTTAGGACCAAAAATTATTTGCTTTGTGAAATCATTTTTCTTGATGACTAAACACAACAATAATAATAAATCCTTTCATGAAGGATTAAATCAACGTTAATTACTTTATTAAAAAATTTTAAAAAGCAGGCAGTACAAACAGGCACTTTCATATGAATGCTTCAGAAGGTAAATCATTCATCAGCTTTTTTAGCATTACAGTAATGAGAGTTTGGGGTTAAATGTGTTAATATCACAGTGCCTTGGTAGCTAGCTAAAATAAAATAAAAAATTCAGTTAATGTTTATTTTATTTGAAGTAATGTAAAATGTTTTTAAATGGTTATAGTTTTTCGTTAGCTATACTAACGCTGTTGGATATGAGACTCTGTGTGTGTTTGTGTCATCAGGAGAATCTCCAGCAGCAGGTTCTGATGGGCATCGCCCCGCAGACAGCCACAGGCACCGGCACGCCCGCTTCCCTGGCCACGCCCCCCACCACCATCCATCCTGTCCGTCAGGCCTCCATGGCCCCGCCTCCTCAGCGCATGAAGCCTCAACCATCTCACCAGCTGTCTGTCAGCTCGGCTGTCAACTCCACGCCCCCCAAGACCCGCCCCCAGAGCGGGAACCTTCTCCAGTCGCCCGACTCCAGTTTTGGGGGGAGGCAGTTGCCGAGGCAACAGCTGTCGGTGAAGGATAGCCCCGCCCCCGGCCTGCCACATCAGTCCAGCACTGCCTCGGAGAGCCCTGCCCCTCAGGGCGGAGCCAGTGAGAGCACAGAAAATACACCGAGCAGCCAACCAGCAAAACCCACACAGCAAACCAACCAACAGCACCTGCTCAAGCCTACCATAAACAAACAGGTGAACACACACTCACTCACACTCACTCACACACACTCTCTCTCACACACACGCACACTCTCTCTCTCTCACACACACACACGCACACTCTCTCTCTCACACACACGCACACTCTCTCTCTCACACACACGCACACTCTCTCTCTCACACACACGCACACTCTCTCTCTCACACACACGCACACTCTCTCTCTCACACACACGCACACTCTCTCTCTCACACACACGCACACTCTCTCTCTCACACACACGCACACTCTCTCTCTCACACACACGCACACTCTCTCTCTCACACACACGCACACTCTCTCTCTCACACACACGCACACTCTCTCTCTCACACACACGCACACTCTCTCTCTCACACACACGCACACTCTCTCTCTCACACACACGCACACTCTCTCTCTCACACACACGCACACTCTCTCTCTCACACACACGCACACTCTCTCTCTCACACACACGCACACTCTCTCTCTCACACACACGCACACTCTCTCTCTCACACACACGCACACTCTCTCTCTCACACACACGCACACTCTCTCTCTCACACACACGCACACTCTCTCTCTCACACACACGCACACTCTCTCTCTCACACACACGCACACTCTCTCTCTCACACACACGCACACTCTCTCTCTCACACACACGCACACTCTCTCTCTCACACACACGCACACTCTCTCTCTCACACACACGCACACTCTCTCTCTCACACACACGCACACTCTCTCTCTCACACACACGCACACTCTCTCTCTCACACACACGCACACTCTCTCTCTCACACACACGCACACTCTCTCTCTCACACACACGCACACTCTCTCTCTCACACACACGCACACTCTCTCTCTCACACACACGCACACTCTCTCTCTCACACACACGCACACTCTCTCTCTCACACACACGCACACTCTCTCTCTCACACACACGCACACTCTCTCTCTCACACACACGCACACTCTCTCTCTCACACACACGCACACTCTCTCTCTCACACACACGCACACTCTCTCTCTCACACACACGCACACTCTCTCTCTCACACACACGCACACTCTCTCTCTCACACACACGCACACTCTCTCTCTCACACACACGCACACTCTCTCTCTCACACACACGCACACTCTCTCTCTCACACACACGCACACTCTCTCTCTCACACACACGCACACTCTCTCTCTCACACACACGCACACTCTCTCTCTCACACACACGCACACTCTCTCTCTCACACACACGCACACTCTCTCTCTCACACACACGCACACTCTCTCTCTCACACACACGCACACTCTCTCTCTCACACACACGCACACTCTCTCTCTCACACACACGCACACTCTCTCTCTCACACACACGCACACTCTCTCTCTCACACACACGCACACTCTCTCTCTCACACACACGCACACTCTCTCTCTCACACACACGCACACTCTCTCTCTCACACACACGCACACTCTCTCTCTCACACACACGCACACTCTCTCTCTCACACACACGCACACTCTCTCTCTCACACACACGCACACTCTCTCTCTCACACACACGCACACTCTCTCTCTCACACACACGCACACTCTCTCTCTCACACACACGCACACTCTCTCTCTCACACACACGCACACTCTCTCTCTCACACACACGCACACTCTCTCTCTCACACACACGCACACTCTCTCTCTCACACACACGCACACTCTCTCTCTCACACACACGCACACTCTCTCTCTCACACACACGCACACTCTCTCTCTCACACACACGCACACTCTCTCTCTCACACACACGCACACTCTCTCTCTCACACACACGCACACTCTCTCTCTCACACACACGCACACTCTCTCTCTCACACACACGCACACTCTCTCTCTCACACACACGCACACTCTCTCTCTCACACACACGCACACTCTCTCTCTCACACACACGCACACTCTCTCTCTCACACACACGCACACTCTCTCTCTCACACACACGCACACTCTCTCTCTCACACACACGCACACTCTCTCTCTCACACACACGCACACTCTCTCTCTCACACACACGCACACTCTCTCTCTCACACACACGCACACTCTCTCTCTCACACACACGCACACTCTCTCTCTCACACACACGCACACTCTCTCTCTCACACACACGCACACTCTCTCTCTCACACACACGCACACTCTCTCTCTCACACACACGCACACTCTCTCTCTCACACACACGCACACTCTCTCTCTCACACACACGCACACTCTCTCTCTCACACACACGCACACTCTCTCTCTCACACACACGCACACTCTCTCTCTCACACACACGCACACTCTCTCTCTCACACACACGCACACTCTCTCTCTCACACACACGCACACTCTCTCTCTCACACACACGCACACTCTCTCTCTCACACACACGCACACTCTCTCTCTCTCTCACACACACACACACTCTCTCTTTCACACACACACATTCTGTTGTCACACATTAGATCATCGCAGACACTTTTATCCGCAGCACCGGTGTGTCTGCAGGTTTGAGTCCCGTCAGTAATCTGGGATAATTAAAATTGAAGGCGAAATGGGGATAAATGACGTCTGAAAGTCCCGTTTGTGGGTCACTTCCTTAACTAGAATAACTAGTATTGTCAGAGAGCACAAAATCCCCAATTATTCAGCCATTCAGAACTGAACTGACAGAGCATTTTAAAAATGCCAATCCTGATTTGAATTGAGGATGCAAAATTGCAATTGCAATAAATCAAATTAAAATGGATGGAAATGAATAGATATTCAAAGAAATTCAGTTGTTGTCTATATTTTTGTCATATCACGTTCAGAAATTGTCTCTCTTAGAAATTTGTATATTTTGTCATATTTAATAAATTAACTTTTGTAGATCAGAGTGAAAGAGCGCTTCATTTTATTTCATCAGTAAAAACAGTGAAATATTATAATTGCAATGTGAATCTCTATTAAACTGTAATTTATTCCTGAGACCAAAGCAGAATTTTCAGCATCATTCCTCCAGTCTTCAATGTCACATGATGATTCACAGATGAATAGAAAGATCAAAAGAACAGCATTTATTTGAAATTGAACATTATCAATGCCTTTTGCTAAATAAAAGTAGTAATTTCTTTCTTCTTTTTGTTTTTATTTGACTGAGCTCAATCTTGTGTCCAGTAGTGTATGTCTGCATGTAGTCTCAGATCCAGCTGTAATGTCTGGATGTTTTCTCTGTGTTCGTGTGTTTCAGGGCTCAAAGTCTCCGTCGACTCTCAATCCTCCCTCAGCCGCGTCCGAGCGTACGGTGGCCTGGGTGTCCAACATGCCGCATCTGTCTGCAGACATCGAGAGTCTGCGTGTGGATCGCGAGGAATTCAAACTGAAGGAGCACTCTAAGAGCATGGATGAGTCCCGCCTGGACCGGGTCAGTACTGACGCTACAGCAGACGCAACAATAAACACATTGCTATTTAATTAATTATATATCATTAAATTATTTATATCATTTTGTGAGATGTCTCTATAATTATTATATCAATGATTTATGTAATAATTAAAAGTCCAGCTTATATTTCACTTCAAAATCATCTAAAAAATATATATATTAAAAAAAGTCATCTTTTTATTATTATTAATACATACATTAAAAATAAAAAAATAAAAAAATTGTAAATGTTATTTTGAATAAAGAAAATATTTGTAGGAAAGAGAGATTTATTTTGTTTGTTTTGCATTGTGAAATCACTTTCTTGATAATTTAACACAGTAAAAAAAAAAAAAAAACATTTTTATTTACGATTAAATCAGCAATAAATTGGAGCAAAACTTTTTTCCCTTTTTTTTTATTTAAATAAAAGTTAAATTGTCAGTAAAATAATGTTTGCATATAAAACATAATAGCTTTTTTAATTTTCGAAAATAAATAATGCATACAAAAATAAATTAATATTTTTTTATGCAAAATACTTTTTGCATGAAGAAAATTAAGATTAATTTTTAGAACCAAAAGATTTGATTTTGGATTGTGACATTATTTTTTTGATAATTAAATGCTTCATAATGCAAATTACTTGTCATAATTATTATAAGAGTTCAGGATTAAATGTGTTTCATTATCAGTAAAATAATGTCCTAGTGCAACAAAAATCATAATAACTTTATTTAAATACAGTTTTTGAATATTTAGCACATTTAAAAATAAATATTTTACTTTATGCAAAATATTTAAAATACATTTTTCATAAATATTGGATAAAAAGATTTGGTTTTGCATCATGAAATTTTTTTTTCTTGATAATTAAATAAAGTCATAAAACAGGCCTAAATCTTTACATTTAACTTTACATTTTTCCATAAATTCTTTGCAATGTAAATCATTTATAATTATTCAGCTATGCAGTAACGTGAGTTAGCGATTAAATATGTTCAAATATTAGTAAAATAATGTCTGTGAACAAAATTCAGTTTGTTTTCTTTTGATTTTGGACTGAAATAAGAGCTGAACATGTTTTTGACCGTGAGATTCCCCCTCGTGCACTTTTCAAACTCAGTGAACAGCATGTAGAGGTCAGTTCATTCTGACGGTTCTGTGCTGTTTTCTGTGCAGGTGCGCGAGTACGAGGATGAGATCCACTCTCTGAAGGAGCGTCTGATGATGTCCCACCGTAAGCTGGAGGAGTACGAGCGCCGGCTGCATTCGCAGGAGCAGCAGACCAGTAAGATCCTGCTGCAGTACCAGAGCCGGCTGGACGACAGCGAGAGACGCCTGCGCCACCAGCAGGTGGAGAAAGACTCGCAGATCAAGGGCATCATCAACAGGTCAGACGCGTGACGTGCGCTCGCGACTTAGTCCCTGCGATTACCAGAGCATCCTGGGAATGGGTGTGTGTGTGTGTGTGTTGCAGGTTGATGGTGGTAGAGGATGAGCTGAGGGGAAGTGGAATGCCTGACCTCAAAACCAGAATATTCACAGAACAGGTCTGTCACACGCACACCGGGAAACCATCTGTAACCTTCATGCCACTCCAGAATGATGACTGTGGGCTTGTGTGTGACGTCATCACATCTGTCGTATGAACCATGTGACCAACACTGAACATTCCTGTGTAGATGACGTCACTGATCATAACACAGTTCCTGTAATGTGACATTAATCTACATGAATCTGATCTGCTGTGTGCCACAGGTGTGTGTGTGTGTGTGTGTGTGTGTCAGCTGTTTCTCAGTAGCTCTGAATGCGTCTCATCCGGTCAGAAGCTAAATTCTGAATCTGTTTACTAACATCAGTTTGACTGTGATTAATATAACAATAAATATTAATAATAACTATACCGATAACAATAACTAAAAAGTAACTAAAGTAATAACTATAGTGATACTGTAATGATGTAATAGTGATAACTATACTGATAACAATAACTGTACCAATAATTATAACAATAACTATACTGATATCTGTACTGATAACAATACTGTTAGCTATAGTGATAACTGTACTAATAACAATAACTAAAAAATAACTATAGTGATACTGTAAATATAACAGTACTGATAATAATAACTAAAAAGTAACTAAAGCAATAACAATTAGTTCTGGTACTATGAAAAGGTTCCCGTGGTGCGAAAGGCCCTATAGTGATACTATAATAATTATAGTGATAACTTCACTGATAGCAATTACTATACCGATAATTATAACAATAACTATAGTGATACTGTAATCATAACTATACTGACAACAATAACTATAGTGATACTGTAATAATTATAGTGATAACTTCACTGATAGCAATTACTATACCGATAATTATAAAAATCACTATAGTGATACTGTAATAATTATAGTGATAACTTCACTGATAGCAATTACTATACCGATAATTATAAAAATCACTATAGTGATACTGTAATAATTATAGTGATAACTTCACTGATAGCAATTACTATACCGATAATTATAAAAATCACTATAGTGATACTGTAATAATTATAGTGATAACTTCACTGATAGCAATTACTATACCGATAATTATAAAAATCACTATAGTGATACTGTAATAATTATAGTGATAACTTCACTGATAGCAATTACTATACCGATAATTATAAAAATCACTATAGTGATACTGTAATAATTATAGTGATAACTTCACTGATAGCAATTACTATACCGATAATTATAAAAATCACTATAGTGATACTGTAATAATTATAGTGATAACTTCACTGATAGCAATTACTATACCGATAATTATAAAAATCACTATAGTGATACTGTAATAATTATAGTGATAACTTCACTGATAGCAATTACTATACCGATAATTATAAAAATCACTATAGTGATACTGTAATAATTATAGTGATAACTTCACTGATAGCAATTACTATACCGATAATTATAAAAATCACTATAGTGATACTGTAATAATTATAGTGATAACTTCACTGATAGCAATTACTATACCGATAATTATAAAAATCACTATAGTGATACTGTAATAATTATAGTGATAACTTCACTGATAGCAATTACTATACCGATAATTATAAAAATCACTATAGTGATACTGTAATAATTATAGTGATAACTTCACTGATAGCAATTACTATACCGATAATTATAAAAATCACTATAGTGATACTGTAATAATTATAGTGATAACTTCACTGATAGCAATTACTATACCGATAATTATAAAAATCACTATAGTGATACTGTAATAATTATAGTGATAACTTCACTGATAGCAATTACTATACCGATAATTATAAAAATCACTATAGTGATACTGTAATAATTATAGTGATAACTTCACTGATAGCAATTACTATACCGATAATTATAAAAATCACTATAGTGATACTGTAATAATTATAGTGATAACTTCACTGATAGCAATTACTATACCGATAATTATAAAAATCACTATAGTGATACTGTAATAATTATAGTGATAACTTCACTGATAGCAATTACTATACCGATAATTATAAAAATCACTATAGTGATACTGTAATAATTATAGTGATAACTTCACTGATAGCAATTACTATACCGATAATTATAAAAATCACTATAGTGATACTGTAATAATTATAGTGATAACTTCACTGATAGCAATTACTATACCGATAATTATAAAAATCACTATAGTGATACTGTAATAATTATAGTGATAACTTCACTGATAGCAATTACTATACCGATAATTATAAAAATCACTATAGTGATACTGTAATAATTATAGTGATAACTTCACTGATAGCAATTACTATACCGATAATTATAAAAATCACTATAGTGATACTGTAATAATTATAGTGATAACTTCACTGATAGCAATTACTATACCGATAATTATAAAAATCACTATAGTGATACTGTAATAATTATAGTGATAACTTCACTGATAGCAATTACTATACCGATAATTATAAAAATCACTATAGTGATACTGTAATAATTATAGTGATAACTTCACTGATAGCAATTACTATACCGATAATTATAAAAATCACTATAGTGATACTGTAATAATTATAGTGATAACTTCACTGATAGCAATTACTATACCGATAATTATAAAAATCACTATAGTGATACTGTAATAATTATAGTGATAACTTCACTGATAGCAATTACTATACCGATAATTATAAAAATCACTATAGTGATACTGTAATAATTATAGTGATAACTTCACTGATAGCAATTACTATACCGATAATTATAAAAATCACTATAGTGATACTGTAATAATTATAGTGATAACTTCACTGATAGCAATTACTATACCGATAATTATAAAAATCACTATAGTGATACTGTAATAATTATAGTGATAACTTCACTGATAGCAATTACTATACCGATAATTATAAAAATCACTATAGTGATACTGTAATAATTATAGTGATAACTTCACTGATAGCAATTACTATACCGATAATTATAAAAATCACTATAGTGATACTGTAATAATTATAGTGATAACTTCACTGATAGCAATTACTATACCGATAATTATAAAAATCACTATAGTGATACTGTAATAATTATAGTGATAACTTCACTGATAGCAATTACTATACCGATAATTATAAAAATCACTATAGTGATACTGTAATAATTATAGTGATAACTTCACTGATAGCAATTACTATACCGATAATTATAAAAATCACTATAGTGATACTGTAATAATTATAGTGATAACTTCACTGATAGCAATTACTATACCGATAATTATAAAAATCACTATAGTGATACTGTAATAATTATAGTGATAACTTCACTGATAGCAATTACTATACCGATAATTATAAAAATCACTATAGTGATACTGTAATAATTATAGTGATAACTTCACTGATAGCAATTACTATACCGATAATTATAAAAATCACTATAGTGATACTGTAATAATTATAGTGATAACTTCACTGATAGCAATTACTATACCGATAATTATAAAAATCACTATAGTGATACTGTAATAATTATAGTGATAACTTCACTGATAGCAATTACTATACCGATAATTATAAAAATCACTATAGTGATACTGTAATAATTATAGTGATAACTTCACTGATAGCAATTACTATACCGATAATTATAAAAATCACTATAGTGATACTGTAATAATTATAGTGATAACTTCACTGATAGCAATTACTATACCGATAATTATAAAAATCACTATAGTGATACTGTAATAATTATAGTGATAACTTCACTGATAGCAATTACTATACCGATAATTATAAAAATCACTATAGTGATACTGTAATAATTATAGTGATAACTTCACTGATAGCAATTACTATACCGATAATTATAAAAATCACTATAGTGATACTGTAATAATTATAGTGATAACTTCACTGATAGCAATTACTATACCGATAATTATAAAAATCACTATAGTGATACTGTAATAATTATAGTGATAACTTCACTGATAGCAATTACTATACCGATAATTATAACAGTAACTATAGTGATACTGTAATGATAACAATACTGACAACAATAACTATACCGAAAATTATAACAATAACTAAAAGGTAGCTATAGTGATACTGTAATGATAATTATAAGAGTAACTATACCAATTACTAAAGTGATACTGTAACGATAACTATAGTGATGACAATAACTATACCGATAACTAAAATATAACTACAGCTATAACTGTAACAATAACTATAGTGATTACTATATTGATAACTATAGTATACTAGTGATAACTATAGGGATAATAACTACAATGATTACTGTGCCAGTAACTAAAACTATAGTGTGATAATTAATATTAACTATAATGATAACTATACCAGCGTCCAAACCAACATACGATAACGTTCTGTTTATTCTGCAGTTTTGTCGTCTGTCTCTTTAAATGCTCGCGCTCTTTAATGCAGGATGGATTCTGATCGTTTATCAGCTGGAGAAATTCGCTCTGAAAGTGATTCTATTGATATTGTTCCTCTGTGTCTCATCATTGTAGTTATAAGTGTAGTCTTTATTATTAGAGTGATCATTAAAACTTTACAGTTATTGTAATTATGGTTGTTTGTGTGAATGGGCCTTTACAGGGGAATGACATGTAATGTTTTGTAGCAGTGATTACTGCATGTCTGTGATGAACTGAAAATGGATCACAGTGAATGAGGGCCTGTGATTGGCTGACAGTAGCAGCATGTCCTCAGAGGGAGGGCCTGTGATTGGCTGCTGGAGAATGACATTAATTCCTTCTGTTCTGTCCTCCACGTCTGTGTTCACTCGTCTCATCACGTCCTTTCTGTGTGATTTCTCATCATATATTCACGTCATTCAAACCCGCTGGCTTTCTTTCTTCAGCTGAACAGCAGGAGATGTTTAGCTGAACGTTCACGCTGCTCTTCTCCATGCGATCACTCTCATATTTTCTATGACGAGTGCTGACTGAATTGTTCCTGCTGTGATGAATCTGAGTGTGTGAACGAATCGGTCACTGAATCTCTGCTTCTGTTTCTCCCTCAGCCGATTTATGGTGCCCACTCTGGAACATGATTGGCCCGTGCAGGACTAGCGGACCTGTGATTGGTTGAACCTCAACCCAGGAGTGTCTGATGATTGGCTGAGAGAGAAGAGAGAGGCGGAGCCTGAGCAGAACGACCAACTTCAACTTCAGGACGTCTACAAACTCTCTCTCTCTCTCACACACGCTGAGAGTATATATATGTATATAGCTGATATATAACTATATATTCCTCAGGTGTGTCTCTCTCACTCTCTCCTGCTGTCTTTCTCTCTTTCTTCTGAATTTTTTTGAGCCAAATGGACGACAATCAGCATCTTGAGGCCGAAACAATCACACCGATAGCACAAAGAAAATCGACGCAGACAGACAGACGGAGGGAGAGAGAGAGATGTCTTTATTCACTCTCATTCTCTTCCCATCATCCCCTGCCTCTCTTTCTCTCTCTCTCTTTACTGCAGGAGTGTGTGTGTGTGTGTGTGTGTGTGTGGTTTTGATCAGCTGCAGCCTCAACTTCCTAATAATGACTCAATAACAAATATATTTGTTTGAAATCTTTTTCAAATGATGTTTTGAGGGGCTTGTTACTTTCTGAGCCAATCAGACGTCGGCGTTCCGCTCAGAACCCCGCCCCTTCCTGTCCCGAGCCGGGGGGGCGGGCTCTCCTCTCCGTGCCTAAAGAACTCCATCGAGAACAACAGGGCAAAAAAAGACTAGACGAGTGAGTCGGACACTGGGTTTGTTCCATGATCACGCGTTGGCTCATCTCTGACAGAGCCGGTCATGTGACTCGCTCGCTCCGCAGCGTGGGCCCCAGAGAGGAAGAGCGGTTGGTGGCTTTGCTGTTTTCAGTGGTGGGACGTGGCGGTTCGATGGTGGAGAGCGAGCGGCCGTGTTCGTTTAGTGCTGATGTGTGTTTGTGCCAAACGCCCGGATGACGAGGTTCGCTCATTTAGACGCAGCCGCCCACTAAAGCTCTCTTCAGACCCTAGCGAGTCGCCGTTCCAGCGTTTCACACATCCCACAATGCAGTGCGACTAGAGAGTCGACAGAGAGTCTAAATGTTTCGATTGAAATTGTGACAGAAATATATTACTATTGTAGAATAGAATGTACTTAATTAAGCACTTAATTATTACAACTTTATTTTTAAGGTAGTATTTAAATTTTCTGTTTGCAGCACTTTGTTTACCAAAATAAATAAAAGGAATTGTTCATTTTCATTTGGTTACTTTTTAAAAGATTAATTAAATTCCAGCGTTTTTTTATAGTAAATTTGTATTCAATCATAAAAAAATAAGACATTTCGTAAGGCCCTATTGTTAAAGTTGTATTAATTCAATTGATTAGACTTATTGATTATAAAAATTTAATTAAATCTTTAAGTATTTGGAATCCAAAAAAAATGAAAACTTAAAAAATTGTAAAAAATTAAATGATTTCATAGGGCCCTAAAAATTTTATTTTTCTTAAACCTTTAATAAATTGGTCTTAAATTGTATAAGTTTCTTGATTTCAATTAATTAGACATGGTCTAAGGCCCTATCTATTGTTAAAATGAATTAAATTGGTCAAGTTTTATGATTCAAATTATTAGACTTGATTTTTAACCATTAAATTAACCAGAATTTATACAAAATTAAACTGATGTCATTGGGCCCTAAATATGGAATTATTGCTCAACTTCTAATAAATTATAAAAACTTTAATTTAATATAAATTTACAACATAAAACTGAATTTGGGGAAATAAAACAGATTTTATAGGGCCCTTTCATTAATTTGTTAGGCTTAGTTTATCAGATTCTTTTAGTAATTTAAGCGATAATGTGTTGATTTGTGCTGTTGGGTTTTCTGTGCAGTTCTCGCAGGAACGGTCTCATTTTATATCATTATTATATTTTTAGCCAGGTTAGCATGACATGTTGACAGAAATTACATAATGGTGCTTCCCTACAAATGTCTATTCTTAATATGTTACATAAAATAGTTAGAGTGGACTATTTGGTGTTATTTTCTGCTTTTTTGAGCTTCAGTGCTCTGGACGTCAGTGGGGCTCACACACACACACACACACACACACTCGAGCACTGACGTCATCGGCGAGGTCGGCTGCTGATTTCTGTACATAGAGTCCAGATTTATCGATGGAAAGTTTCTCTCATTTTAAGTCGGTTGAGTTTTTCTCTTTTCTTGGTGTTCGATGGATGATACTCATATACGCCAGTAGCTTCTTTGCTGGGGCTTTAGTTGATTACTTTTGTCTTTATTTACTTTTTCTGTTCGAAGTATTACTTTCGTCTGCATTTCAGGTACTACTAGTTATAATGATGATGAACAGTGTTTCTGTGCCTACAGTTCCCACACCGAGCTCTGATTGGCTGAACACGAGCGGTCACATTTAAACGCGTTGCCATAGAGACGTCGATTCGGAGGCGGAGCGTGCTATACGTTCAATAATGCGAGTGCGTTTGTGGACCGGTTCTGTATCGATACGTCGTTTCTCACCACTTTTGGCACGGTTTTGCGATCATATCCGCCAGCGTTTGTGTATAGGGGTCAGTTATGCTACGACAGATTGTGATCGTGTATCTTTTCCCCATTGTGTAGCACACTAGCTCTTACTGCTATGAGTTTCTGTCTTCATGATGAAACGAACGGTCCTCGCCGCGGGACCCAGCCACCAATTTAGCCATAGACACGGACAAGCCATAGCATTGACCCTTGACCCTCCGACCCGAATCAGGAGCGTAGGATGTATATATTTATATATTTACCCATGGAAATATTCTCGAATGCGCGAGAGATTTGTTGATTCTAGAGTGGAGCCTCTCTGAATATGGAGTGATGTTTTGAATGTTCATATTATTATAAAGATATTATATTCAAATATGATTATTATTGTAATTATGAATTTCATTTTATTGACAACGATTGATAAACAGAAATGTCTTTCTTTTTGTGAATATGGAGAAGTTTACATTTTTCTGGGGAAATATTATAAAACTTTAAATATTTCAACAAACAAATAAACAAATATATACATGCTTAACAGGAGATGTGCTTTTATTTATGAGCGTGAGATTGAATGAACGTGTGGGTCTGAATATCTCAAACATACAGATTCTATAATGGAACTTTATTTTGATTCAACTTGAGCAACAGCGGAAATGCACAAAAAGAGAGAAAATCCATTTAGAATCTCTTATTTTACCAATAATGTGTAAACCTTTCGAGTTTAAGTGTCAAGTTCTGTTTTTTAATTGACCTTTGAAGGGCCACACATATTGTACCTGCAGCTCATTTTAAGGCAAGCTTTCTCTCCACCTTTAATTTAGTTAAAGTGTACATTAGAGTATCGTAGCAGGGCCACTGGTCTAACCCAATCCAAAATCTGAACAATTTTTACTGTACCAATCAATTTTTATGAACTCTTCAACTTGGCGATTATTGCACCATCAGCCCATTTCTCTGTTTCCTTTGAGGGTACAT